AAAGTCACACTATGCATAGAACCAGATTTACCTGAAGCTGAATGTTTATAATTATCTAGTTCACACATATTTCAATCTGAATCATAAGAAAAAAACCTAAAAAAGTAAAAATTGTTAGAGAGAGAAAAGCGAAAATTGCTAGAGAAGTGTGGGACGCGCGGCTCAACGGTGAGCCGCCCAAGCGGAAAGCCCCAAAATGCGTCTGTCCAGTGTGGCAGACACGCAAGAAGGCGCGCTGTCGTCAAAGGTTTAACTTTGTCTGCAAAAGAATACTCAATCGGAAGTCCAAAAATGCCATTGAAGAAAAGAGAATGCGTCTCATCTTGTTCCAGATAGTAATTCCAAATGCATTCAGCGTATGGACGACAGACGCGAGGCCGAACATTTACTTTCGATGACGATACTACTGTACTCGACACCTGCCCTCTAAAAGTGATCGATCCTCTGTCACCAGAACTTCTCAGGTTCTACACGCCTAATACTAACCGGAAGAAAGTGGGTTTTGTTGACTGTCACAATTTACACACATTCTTGCAGAAAACCGTGTTCGTAGTAACCTACATTGTAACTCGTCAGGTATGATTGTTGATATTCGTGTGTTTCGGCATGTGTGTTAGTGTGCGTATGTGTGTCGGTGGGTGTGCCTATGAGGAAATGTGGACCTCCTCTCATGGATCTAGAGTGTTCAAGTTTTGAAAGTATACAGCCGATAGGATCCGTATGCTGACGGCAGGGATACGATCGATATCAACTGGTTAGGGCCGATAGGGAGCTGTGAAAGGCAAAACTAGTGGACCTCTAAGATCTAAGTGCTCAGTGAATTCTAAGAGCGCGATACAAGCTTCTTCACGAAAGCTCTGAACGGAAGAAATCCTGCGGCTTGTTGTCGTGTTCCTTGAGCAAGCACCATCCAATAGACTAATCTGGCTCGCAACAAGGACTTGATGTTACGTCACTCGTTTGAGAGATCAATTATCAAGGAAACGACAGGTGATACAGGGGACGCAAATGTTCCTCCGTGTCGATGACCTTCGGAGGTATGTGATGGTCTTCACTACGACGGAGTTGGATACTCGGCCGTTATTCCTTCTTTCAGGTCAAATGCAAAGTTTAAAATCACGAAATTTACGAAGAGGAATGCAGAACATCATGCGGGTACTGCAAATTAGACACAGAGCCTGAAAGGAGCTCGGCATTAACAGTGTAATGCAAATGGTCAATGTTTGGTGACATTGTTAAAGGTCAAGAAGCCTCGATCTGCTGCCCTGATCATAACAACAATTATCTGTCGGCTTAATTCTGTCCTTCATCGAAATAATGTCATTATGTCAATGTCATTAGTCATCAACAATTTATAATATCAGAAGAGAAGGAATTAATAAATAGAAGTTACTCGAATTACATGTGTATACGTATGTATGTATGTATGTATGTATGTATGTATGTATGTATGTATGTATGTGTGTATGTATAAATTTTCGGCAAATCAGTGCTGGAAAGGAGGTGATCTGGTATTGGTTAACATTGATAACAATAGTAAAATGTTACCGCTATGTCAACATATCCTGTTTAGGATATGGTGTTGCAGTGTTGAGTTACTTTGAAATACTAAAAAGGGTAGAGCCAGCAGTCAGGTCCGCTTTCAATCATTTCCTAGAGTGAAGGTTAAAGCGCGTGGTCGCATTTCATTAACATTGCAAGTAATATGGAATTACAAATTGGAATGGTTTGAACTGGTCTCCATCAGACAACCGTTCCCCACAGCCTTATTAGCTCTTATTGCAAAATTTAAAACATAGAGTGCAATGATACCATAATTTGTGTATTCTTACTTGGTTTTCCGCCAGATGTTCCGGCTTATGAGCAGAGGAGCAAAATTTGAAACAGTACTAATTTTATTGAAGGGTCGATTCCAGGGTTGCCAAGTGTACAAGCCATGGACTGTTCTCAAAAATGGTTATATCGAAGTATTGACAAATGAAACTTCATGTAAGGCAAGGTGAGTACTTGAAATATCTCTCTTGAGTTACGCCAAAAGACGGAGAAGACTGTCATTTATTACCATTCATCATCATGGGGGGCGCGCGTTTCACGCGTGACCCCATTTGAGCTCTTCGCCCACGCAGCATCGTTTCAGTACCTTTCTGTTAAGATGGACCAAATTGAATTGCAGTAGTCCACGGCTTCACCATGAATTAGAGCAAATCTCCTTACTATGGCAATGAGGCCCCTTTGAGATTGAAAATTCACTTCGTAGGTCAACAATTTACTTGTCAACGTTCAAAATAAGAATAACTTCAAATTTTTTGATCCTAGAAGACGCAGTCCTTCTGTAAATGTGCATAGTTGGTCATTTCTTCACTTATTCTATTATAAGTCCTTATTTCTTCCGTTATGATGGTAGGCATGATGTTTTAGCGTGTTCTGTCCGATGACCTCATTAAATCGACGCGTGAATCGCACCACACCCCATCATCATACAGGATGATGCTCATCATTCACACGTTGCGGTCGTAGGGTCTAGCCTAGGCTGACATCCTCCCCGTATTCGTAGAGTATTCGAGGTGTGACTCCGCATTTCTTGTCAACATCCCTCGACTTGTCGCAACCCGGCAAGTGTACCTTTTTTGATGACGAAAAAGCATCTTCATAAATAGTGCAGAAGGAAAAGAGCTCTACAGTGTTTTCATTGAGCTTAGAGAAAGACAGTGGATGATGAGCCCTATTCCATCGCTATGAAGTACCACTGCCACCATATATACGTTGTGCACAGATGATGATCCGCTCAGAAATACTGAAATCGATCACTTTCTACACCATAATTCCTCATCCACATTTTATGTTCCATAATCGTTCGTTCACTCGAAGCCTAATCAAGAATCTACGTGATGAGCTTCTGTGTTTCCTTCACCGCACAAGCGACACTCTAATGTGGGCGTGGTAACAACGTGTATTCGTCGAGACAGATTTACATAGGGTCAAGCTATGAGATACAGCTGCGACCCGCAGTGCGACCTACAATACTTGTAACTGCTCCCACAGAGCTTGACCATTCGGTCCTTTTTTCGAGGCAATGCATGCCAAATGTTGAAGTAGGACCACCACTTAATGGTAAGAACAAGTTATGCCTACTATCTAGACCGGTGTTCCACCGCAGATTCGGAACATTCGCCGCATTTTGATTCAGGCGAGTATCGTATCCTCTTGAACATACGAATTCAAAGTTAGCCATTTAGCTACGGCTCCAATTGGCAGTTCCAGTGCAATACGATCAGTGATTAGTGTTTGAAGATCAGTGAGGTAGTTAATGATTGTTGGTACCGACTGCTATAATAGTACTAGAAGGTCTTATCAGTTATTGAGCTGTTTTCTTAAACCCTTTACAAGTCTTGCATAAAGGTTGTGTTGCTAACGCATCGGCGGAGTCGCCTTCTAAATTAGAGTCTGAAAAGGAACGTAATAGTCAATGACTATCCTATCGAACATCTCCACTACCCCGCTGAAGTGAGTCATCCCTGCAGCACGCACATGACGTAAAGGAGGGTAAACCACCGTAGCTTCCTGTATGATCTAAGACAATCAGCAATCGCCTTATGTCGTTTGGTGCGACTCCTCCCATCGCACCGACCACTGGCGCGGTTGGTGAACTGGGCAACTCGTGCAAATGAGTCAACCTTCTGACCATGCTAGTCGATGCAGATAGACAGAATACTAGCAAGTCCTCAACTCGGCGTTTAATAATAGTGACGTCATTGATCGAACGTATATCAGCTGTGTGGACTGTTCGATGGCCGATTAGCATGATCAGGAAGGTGAATCGCCAGGGCGATTTGTTCAGCATAGAACCGATGCGAATGGGCGGAGGGTGGGGCGCCAAAGGTGCTCTTCCTTCAGCAATAGATGTAGCAAGCCATAATCCTCCGACTCAGATCGACGGCCATGGTCAGTGCAGAAAAGCCAACTTGTATAAGGCCGTAGCTCCCCGTAATAACCTGCGATATATTTTGGAATTTGCGACTGTTACCAAAATGCCTCTTGGGTCTGTTCAAGGGTTCAACTGTGAGTCTAGCGCCACGAGGTCTAAGTTGGTCTCAAAAATGCCTTCCTTATGATTCTGGATTCGTGATTCACCACAATCATAACAAATGATTTGTAGATCACACCGCCGACACAGCCTTCCTCCGTGTCAGCTGGGCAATCCACGTTTGAGGTTGTCCTCGAGCGATCGTATATGCCGAACCAGGTGCTTCTTGATATTTAAGAATGGCACTTTTTCAATAGAACTAGTTTCCCAATCCTGGCTTCTATAGACATCCTCTAATTGTGGCACTGGCCTTACCAGTAATAAATGGTAGTACATAAGCGATCTTTCCGTCTTTCAAGGTATCGCTATGTTGGCGGAACACGCTCCCAGAAGGAGCTCTACATGTCTTGGCAATTGCAGTATGCCTTCAACTGAGCTGCATCGCGTACCATATCGAGCAACTCTTTTCGCTAAACGTCTTAACTGCAGGCCTTCACAGCCATGTCGAGCACATTCGTAACATGGTTTGATTTGCATTAAAATCGATGAGCTTGTAACAACGGACAACGGTATTTCTATCGCTGGGCTTTCTGTACCACAATGTAGCTATTGCAGAGTTCTGTAGCCTAGCTTGTAGGTCTTAGAATAAAATCAATCCCGACCGTTTTTTTCCCGTTTATTCGATATGGTGTATAGAGCTACAAAGCAGAAGAGGTGGAACCATTTTACATGGATTCGGACAGGTCCAGAGAAAAAATGAGCAGATTGGTCTGTTCAACTTTATCATGTAATCCCACACTATCCATGGTAATACGCAGTTCCAGAATCTTTCTCTTTACAATGGAGATGGGAGTCACCTGGTGGACAGTTCCGTTACGAAATATTCCACGTCATTTTCAATCGGAGGTTTTGGCCTGACAGACGTCACTGTTGTTCGAAGTTCTTGGGCCATCATTGGGCCATCATCTACTCAGCGCTAAATTCCGATTTTCACTGCGTCGAGGGAGAGAGAGTCGCGAAGGTCAGGAAACGGAGCTACAAGACTGTTGTCAAATGAGAACACTTCACTTCGATTTTGAGGAATGATTCCATTAGTGGCGACATTAACGAAGAGTACGACGTCGAACGATTTCACCATAGTGATAGAAAAACAGAGTGTTTCAAGATGCGGAGAAGGGTTTCTTCTTGAAGATTCCCCAGCTGGTATGCCAACGTTGAATCGCGCAAGCTGCAGTCAAAAACCAGCTAAGTCCGAATTTGCGAGGCTATGCAGAGAAGCGATAGATTAAGCTCTGAAAGACAGAAGAGCAGAAGTCTTGGTCGATGTCGCTGAGGCTGGGAAGAGCGTTTGCAAAGCCCGCCGAAGCTTCGTTAGTTATGAGACCAAATGATTTCCATCAGTCCCGTTCACGGAATAGTGGTTGCACTTTGGAGGGCAATGAAGAAGGTTACTCACGCCTTCGATGGCCACTTCTGCCTGTTTACCTACCATCTTTATAGGACGGATATGTCGTCACTTCAATTCTTTCCTCCGAAATTCGACATGCCATCATGTCGATGAAGAACTGAACGGCGTCCGTTCCGATAGGAATAAACAAGAACACCTACAGAGCCTTCCGACAGTCATTGTTGAAACTCTGGCCCGCTGTGCTTGTCGAGATGCCGTATACCAACTTATTGGGAAACCGTCAGGGCACTTATAGCCTAATCTGCCTATTATAAGCTTTTCACGTGCGTCATCCTAAACAGAATGGGCAGAATATTAGATGAAGGACAGCTATGCGAGCAAGCAGAATTTGGAGAGGTTCCATTATAACCGATTATGTCTACGCTCTTTCTAGACTGATCGAAGTATCGCGAGAGCACAAAATGCCCTTATGTCTACATTCATCGATTTAAAGAAAGCCTTTGACAACGTCGAGACAGAAGCGGTAATTGAAGTTTTGGGCAACCAGGGTGTTCCTACTCAATATATAGGGATGCTTCGTGAGCTGTACACCAGGACCTCGCCGTTGTATAAAGAAGTGGATTCAAGGACGTGATCAGAGGGGATCGAGAAGGCGATACTATCATGCTTCCTGTGGAATGGGGGAGTATGGGAGTAAAGGTCGACGGCCTTTACTTACATCATTTCTGCTTTGCAGACGACGTCGTGCTCATAATACCGAGCATCAATCAGGGGGAACGAATGCTGGCCGAGTTTGCCAGTGCTTGTGGAAAGATCGGCTTGAGACTGAACTTGAAAAATACGATGTTCATGAAAAACGGAATCTCCCTTCACGTTGAATGAAACGAATATTTCTGAATACTCTAGCTACGTGTATCTAGGTTGGGGATTCAACATGATGAACGACCTAGCTCCGGAGCTGAGCAGAAAGAAACGCGCGGCGTGGGGAGCATTGAAGTGCATCGAGGAAGTAGTGAAGATGGCAAAAAGCATCCGGCTCCGCGCTCACTTTTTCGACACTGCTATTCTTTCTGCTTTGATGTACGCCCCAGAAACTTGGAAACTACGAAACTAGGATGAACATGCTGTCAGCGCTACTCAACGCGCCTTGGAAAGGACGATGCTCGGCGTTACTCTATACACGGAAGTCCAAGAGGGACTATACGGTTTCCAGCTCTCTCATCGAACCACGTTCAGGGATGCCGTTGATCAACCTACAAAATCGAAATCTAGGTGGGCAGGGCACGCAATGCGATATAGTAATGGCTGTTTGGAGCTGACTACTGACTGGATCCCTCGGGTTGCCGAACGATCACAAGGGCGGCCGCCAGCGCGATGGCCAGACTTTTTCACAAAAGTTCCGAACCGAAGGAATGCATGCATTGCCCCATGTCCTTCGAGCGAAGACGATCCACTGGACTCCTTTGACAGTGGCGAACGGAGACGTTACAGGAACCTGCTCGAGTAGTCCATGATTAAGGGGACGATAGGTGATACAGGTGATTTAATGTGATCCGGATGTTGCGTGGGCGGTCCTATTGAATCGCATGGTTACTTAACACTCTTTAGGTGCAGCGTCTCAAGTTCATACGGGATATCATTATGCAAGGACTGCTTATAACCCAATGATTACAATTCTGACGGAGTGCTTAAGTAGTAGCAATCCCAATCGGTCGAAAAAACATTTTACGCATACTAAAAGCTTGGATTTTGGGTGCCCCTATTTTGCCATAGTATTTGTGGCGAAGATAGAAGTGCTCTGCAATACCGCTCTTACTTTACCGCAGGTTTATCATTGGCTATTTTATAATCTCTGCCACTCAGGAAGAAATAGATTTCCGTTTTGGTCTGCTCAACACACAACCAGAGCACATCAATTCAATTAAGGAATAACCAAAAAGGGAATGGTCTCTCCAGTGTTCATTGTTGACCCGTTTCTGAATTTTCTCATCAACATATGTAGCTCTTACGGATTTCTGAACTTGATCTACTGCAGAAAAACACTCAGTAATGATTACGAATCGGAATTAATTGCTACGGCAGTTGCAGTAGTTTTTTTTTTATATTCACCTGTATCACCTGTACTCCTGTTGATCGTCGATTTCCTCGAGCGGGCGCCAGTAACGTCTCCATTCGTCCCTGTCGCGAGCCAGAGTAGTCCAGTGAATCGCACTCGCTCGAGGGACACGGGGCAATACATTCCTTTCGTTCAGAGCTTTCGTGAAGAAGTCCGACCATCTCGTTGGCGGCCGTCCTGGTGTTCGCTTGACGTCCAGAGGGATCCAGTCCGTAACCGCCCTGGTCCAACGGTCATCATTATATCGCATAACGTGTCCGGCACACCTGATCTTCGATCTCTTGGCGTAATCAACGGCATCCCTGATCTTCGTTCGTCGACGGAGCTCGGAACTCCGGATTCCCTTCTGCACTTGCGTGTATAGGGAAATTCCGAGCATCGTCCTTTCCACAGCGCGTTGAATGACGCTAACTGCATGCTCATCCTGCTTTCGTAGAGTCCAAGTCTCTGAGGCGTATGTCAAAGCAGGAAGTACCGCAGTGTCGAAAAGGTGAGCGCGGAGCCGGATGTTCTTCGTTTTCTTCACTACTCCCTCGATGTTCTTAAATGCTCCCCACGCCGCGCGTTTCCGTCTGCTCAGCTCTGGAGCTAGGTCGTTCATCATGTTGACTTCTCGACCTAGATACACATAGCTGGAGCATTCAGAGATATTCGTTCCGTTCAGCATGAAAGGAGCATCAGGTACCAATCCGTTTCGCATGAACATCGTCCTCGTTAAGTTCAGTCTCCAGCCGATCTTTCCACAAGCGTTGTCAAATTCGGCCAGCATTTGTTCCGCCTGCTCGATGTTGGGTNGTAGAACTTCGGAACAACAGCGACGTCAGTCAGGCAAAATTTCCGATTGACGATGATGTGGTCTATTTCATTATGGAACTGTCCACCAGGTGACTCCCATGTCCATCTTAAATGAGAGGGCTTCTGGAACTGCGAGTTACCATGGATGGTGTGGGTCGTCATGATAAACTCGGACAGTCTTTCACCCTGCTCATTCCATTCCAATCCATGAGTCCCGATATGAAGCTCTTCAGCCGTTCTTCTGGGGCCAATCTTGGCGTTAAAATCACCGACGATGACCTTGAAGAAAGTGTGGTCTTCTCTGTAGAGCCTCTCCAGATCCATATAGAACGCTTCCAACTCCTCTTCTTCGTAGCTCGATGTTGGTGCGTAAGCAACGAAGATGGTTAGAGCTTGGATTGAGCCACATCTTCTTAATCGCAAACGTCCGATTCGGGTTGTTAAGCTTTCGTACGAATCGATGTTCATGGCCAAGTGCGTGTTGACGAGGACACCTACACCGCCGACGCCTCTGCTGTCTCATGTTCCAAGGAACAGTTCTTCTCCAGTTTCAAATACAGCGTGCAGCGGGCGGTGCCTTCTCGTCACGGTCAGTTTGATGACGTCGTACTTGATTTTCCTAGCTTGCATCATCAGGTCTTCTATACACGCTTCCGATGCAAGCGTCCTTGCGTTGAAAGTACAGATCGCCATCTTAGTCCTTCTCCTTTTGGGCAGCCTGTTTTGGCCCTGAGATTTTAGCAGCCTCTCCCGAGCGGTCCTACCCAACGCCGCCGTATTGGGGGCTCCCTCAGGTTCAGGGAATGAGGCCCATTTCTGTTACTGTTTTTGGCATGGAATCCACGTGTAACTTGCCAGGCTCTAGCACGTGGGGGGCCTACTCTTAGCCGTGTGGACATGCGAACGTGCCGTTGATTTATATACATATATATTTTTTATAAATATAATTGATTATATTCAATCAATTATATTTATAAATTATAAAATTAAATGATCAATTATATTTATATTTATACTATATTTTTTTATATTAATGAGATTAATGTCATTATCATTATATGCTATAATGCTCATGAGTAGTTTTGTGGACAGACAGGCACACAGACAAACTGGGCAGACACATAGACAAATATATACATACGTTAACGCCTGTCCATAAAACAGTTTTTCAGTGAAAATACGTCTTGACTCTCTCTTGCAAAATTGGTGTTGTCTATAGATTGAGTGCAAACACTTTTTCCTTTTTTGAATGTCGCTATCAGAAGTTGTAGCCAGCTGAGCTTGCGCGCTGTATCTATTTCTTGAGTAATATTCGTATGCGGCTAAAGGGGTTCCTCCGATAAGTGCAGGATATCTCGATCTGTTTCGTTTATGGCGTCAATTCGCCGTACTAATCATAGCTTGATGTCACCGAGCTCGATACATTCATAGTTCTTTCATTGCGTAGCCGTTGACTATACGTTTATGGCGAATATCATCTGAAAAATGTCTTTTGTAGAATTTACTCTGTAGAATCGAAAAATACGCAGAACTGTCGTGGAGACAAACTCCCCCAAAAAATTAGTGAATAGTTCCATAATATTTACCTGAAATGTTCACTTTTTCTGCTCGCCTCTTCTGAGTGAATCCGCTGGTAAGATGAAGCTGGTGTGATGTATTCCTGATCTCTTTCACAACGAACCGCTACACACTCCGCATCACTTTTAGGAGGCACAATTCGTTTTCTCATGGGTTATTGTTGATGAAGGAATTGGCAATGATCCTTGGAATATGTCTTCTGCGCGATTTATAATAGGTTATCACTAAGCCTATACAACATCGAAGGTTTTGGACAATACTTCAATCACGCTACGAAAATGGCTGATTACATCCACACTTAACAGGCTAACAGACCTTTCTTACCTTCGCAATTCTTATCGGCGTTCAAAAACCTCAGTTCCCCGATGTTTCCTAGTCTAGGTACTTCTGTGACTATTCTAAAATGGATGCTCTGTCCTTACTATATTCCTGACAATTGACCTGGGAATGGAATTATAATTGAAGCTAAGGACTCGAATAAAAACTTTTCTAGTGGAGCTACATATTTTGAACTAACTCCAACTTAGTATCGATTTTTCTTACACGGATAGAAAACCATAGACCCATGCTCCAAAATGGAGCGAAAACCTGATTTGCAGGCCTTGATGGGGATACAGGGATCTTTTGTGTACAAGCTTCGGAAGAGCTGTGCTAATCTACCCTCAGCTCTATGAACTAACGACATGATGTGAGCATCAGAAGACAGTTTATCATCAATTAGAAATCCCAAATCTCTGACGACAGTAAGCTTTTAGAGTTTGGATCCATCAGCGTAATAATTAAAAGTACGCCGAGCTTTTCTTAAGCTAAAAACTGAGGTTTTATTTGCGGGCAGCGGCAACTTGGCCACACACAACCCCATTTCACATCTCAAAAAAATGATGGCCGCTAAAGAAGTGTCAGGCAGGAGACTCAGATGATAAATGTCTATAATGAAAATCAGAAGCTCATGTGGCCTCTCCCCCGCTCATGATTAGAGCCCCTAGCGCACACGATAGCGTGTGTAGCCGCCTAGTAACAAATAAACGAGTAGGCAAACTGCACACAACACCGTTATGGTTTTGATGTAGGCAGATAACGACCTGAATACTTATAATTAATCCCTCTCAGTTATTGCCTACAAAAGGAATGTAAAGCAGTAAGGAATGAAATGCATTTACGAGTACTTTCGTGCTCATCTCGATACTAGCTTTAATTTATTTCTGTGCGCACCAACTAGAGTAGTGCTAGATTCTTTTTAATGAAAGACTGTTGCTCGATCAATACTCGATCGACAGAAGTTTTGTTTTCTCAGCATTTTCTTTATAAGATAATGTTTCATGTGTTTGTATCCAAACAAGGACAGCAAAATAATCGAAGGAGATTTCCGAAAGCTCCCTACAAACAGATTGTTCAAATGTGATATCATTGAGACAGAGTGCAACAGAGAGGGCTACAACGAGACTGAACATTATCTTCACATGCAAATCTACGAGAAAAAAACGTGAGCTCAATGTCTTACTCACCGCATGACAACAAAGGGTTCCCGTGTNTATAGTCTCATTCCTTTGAGCTACATTTATTTTTCATAGATCGGGAAGACAGAGGAGTTCGCTTCCAAACGTTTACATGATAATGATCGATTCGACTTCGACATTTATGGTTAAGAGGTAATTTGTTCTCTCTTTTTTTGAACCATTCCGAGTTGTCGGATCCGATTTACAGACCGACAGCATAAGAGGAGCAATGTTGTACTTATTGCTGTACCACTGATTTTTAGGAATTCCAAGGCAACAAATTTATGAGTGATCTTTTCAGTCATTTGCAGCGAGAGAAAAAACCCCACAGCTCTGACCGCAGAGAGTAACTTATGCAATCACGAGCTCTCTGTAATGAAGCACGTTTCGGAACTAAAAAAATAGTAAATGCCGTTATGGTTGTCATCATAAAACGCATCACTCGCTTTTGATCTTTTTACTAGTCTAGAGATACTTCAAAATAGGCAATTACTTAAATTACTGATAAATAGGCAAAAAATCAGGATTCTGATGGATAAGGTTAACCTTGGCAGTTTCTTGAATCTTAAGTTTCATGTATTGCGATTCAGATGTGTTTCAAACATATCGAAGTGCGCAGTGCAGTGACAAACTCCCACACCTCATTGCCCCCTACCTACACCTCGAGGCCTAAGGGACTTTCTTCATTACTGATTCGTTTATGTGATTGATGATACTCGAGTCCATGGCAAATGAGAGGATATCTGGAACTACGAGCTTCCATGAAAGCTCGGTCTACATGATGACCCCGATCGATCTCTTACTCTAACCATTCCCTCCCGTTCCGTAATTCCCGATTCGAAGGTACAGTTCATAATGAAAATGGCTTATAAGATATCTCCTTAGATAAATTTGGACTTCCTCGTAAACCATATGTGTCGGGTCGGGAAAAGGATTAGATAGGGCGTTGTAAAAGGTTAAAGATTGCACCATGTGTATCCTCGAAGGTGTTACATTGGCAATGTGAATGCTACACCGATCACGAGGGAACCCATGTAAGAAGTTCAAACAACTTGTCATGATCCATAGCGACAGAAAAAGGCAGTTATGTTCAATTCTGGCTAGATGTCGAATTTCGTCTTTAGAGCTCTTCACCATTCTTCTAGGGCCAAGCTTGGCATTGAAAACACCGACGATGATCTTAAATCTTACTTGGACGAGCAATTATTTCCTACGATTAATGGTTGTTTACCAAAAATTTGGTATGAATACTTTCGTCATTATTGGTGTTATTTCTCCCTGGTATTCAAAAATTTCCCACGAAAGTAAGAAAACGTATAAAGCTAGCGAAAATATTCTGCGCGTTTCCCCTTAGGCAATGACATAGCTCTCTCGAACTGAGACCTTTTTGGTTAGCTGTTGGAAGGAAAAAGTGGGCCGCAACTCATTTACTATTGAGTTGAATGCAACGTCTCCATAGGGCATTCTGGAAACTCTGCAAATTACGATTTTGGTTCGGTATACATGATTTATTGTGTGATAATTGCTGAACATACTAGCGTTTTTTTCGCAAAATATACATGAGGACGCGTACGTTCTCTGGTTTGATTACGATGCCAATTTTAGATGACTATCTTCGGAGCATCACTTCTTTTAGCGGCGCAACATTAACGTCACCTTGGGTAGGACACTACCATCATTTCTGTCCATCGCTCGTACGCTCTCTTTGCAAAAAGAAGCACAACTTTTGAAGATAGGTCGGTCGAGAGGCCCCATGCAGTAAAAGACTTGGCCGTTTTCGACGCTATCAAGGAGAATCCGGTGGATACCCCGAGTGTTCCCAAGCAATAGTTGTGAAACGAGGTCCACCTAAAGACCCTCCTCTCGGTGGATCTTCCACACCTTGACGGTTGGTACGCGCTGAACCAGGTTATCCATATGTCAACCTCTGCCTCTCTGCTACTATCGCGAGGAGTTTCCAGATGACCCAGTTCTCTTCCACTATAACTCACCCGTCTGACTGTAGCAAGCAAAAGCAAACAACCACCCCAAGAAGGTTCTTCTGTACTGCTCCTGGGACTCAACATGGTTGTACAGTATTACGAGCTGATCCCGCAGGACACACGGTAACAATTTTCTCTTACGCCCCTCAGCTTCAAGAATCCTGACTAAGTAAGCTTCACGGGAAAGTAGCAGGACGAGCTTAAGAGAATTCCCTTGTTTATAACGCCTGACCGTATGTAGCTAAAGATACCTTTTTTCCTGTCGTGGTTCCCTCTGCTAATCCTTATTTCGCCCCCCCCCCCCTCGAGGCTTTCTTGGCCAAAGTTTTGCAAAGTTTGATGGCATAGGTCGGGCCAGCTTTCTCACCACTTTTAAGAAAAAAATTGATCGCAGGCTTGCTCTATGAGTAGACCCTAAGTGGTGGCTAACAATGATGACGGTAATATTGTTCATTGGTTCTCATTTTCTGCTAAATTAAAAACAGATAAAGTAGACGCTTCCATTGAAAGCGATCAGGGTCTGGTTACAATTATAGCGAACCTAGCAATTAACGGGTAGCCGAAGGTATTTGAAGGAGCGACGACATAGTGAGTGAGATTCATTAGGTTTGCTCTTCACCACTTTGTGGAACTTGACGAGCTGAACTGTACCATAATGAAGAAAGAGGAAATCAAGGAATATCAATGAAAACTATAGAGCAATGCTAATTCGGTTTTATTCATTTTTCCAACCATTCATAGTGTGCACAGTATACTGTAGGTTCGAAATAAAATGCTTCATCTAGGAGTATCGAACCCAAAAGTACAGTACCGCATAAACGATTCAGTCCTTGATTCAGCTGTATCTGTCACAGATCTGGGATTTATAATTAATCAAAAGCTTGGCTTTGAGGAACACTTGAAAAACCTAGCGATGAAGGCAGAGCGGAGGGTATACCTCCTTTTCAAGTCAGTTAAATCGAAAGATCCAGCATTGCTTATAAAAGCTCATGAAATTTACATTCGCTCAGTACGGGAGTATGGCACATGTATTTATTTCCCTCATACAAAGGCGGCTGTAGATAGACTGGAGAGGTTACAAAACAATTTCACCACAAGGTTGTTCATTAGATCGTTAGGGTTTACTTATAACAGTATACCCAGAGGTGTCATCAGAAACAAAATGCTCAGTTTAGATTCACTTCATTTGAGACGGAGGATTAATGACGTTTTGTTGGTGTATAACTTCATCAACAATCGAATTAACTTGAATAGTCATCCCTTCTTTCAAATGATCCCGTCTAGGACTAGAGGTGACAAGTTCAGGCTTTCCTCTCGGCTTCCTAGGTCGTCGGTGGGTCGTAAGTTTTTCACTTTTCGAGCTGGAATGGAGTACACAAGGATGAGCAGGGTTGTTCAATTTTTTATCCGCTACCTCCATGTATCTCGCTGAGTTTTGTGCTTTCTACTGTTATCAGTTTCATTTTGTAACGAGGTGTTGTTGGCTGATTTTTTTGTTTGGCTATCTAGTACGACATGTTGCTTAACATGTAATAACTCAAATCAAATCAAATCAAATCGATCAAGCAGTCGTCACCTAACTCATGATCGATATCATATAAAAATTATTGGTGGAATCATTATGGTTCATGCAACTTGTGTTGTTCTCGTTTTAAACGATCCCTCCTCTTTTCGTATTTGAATGACGACGTACTTTTATAGATCTTTACCAAAGACTCTGCGGTTCTTGAAGAACAACCTAGGAGCAGTTCAAATGGACTTTTTGAATAAAGTTGGAGATAACAGCAGGCCAAACGGCTTTCCTCTGCTTTTCGGTATTCTGTCAAGTTTACATTATTTATTGAAGGGAGTTTTTTTGATATGAATAACTTAACTTTCAGGCAAATCTGTCGAAAAAGTAGACCGTGTTGGACGACCACCGGAGGAACCCGATTGGAACAATACGGAGATTTGCAACAAATGGTTGGACGAGTATCCATATATCTTAGAGGAATACAAAAAGAAGGGTTATAAGGTGTGCATATTTAAACATGTGCAACTCTTCTGCATAAGTTGATATTTTTGCAAACTTCAAGAATGGCTACCAATCAACGGAATGCCGTTCTCATACATAGTAAACGGAATGTTTCGCTTTTCTTTTCGTAAAAATGCAAAGTTAAAGAAGCATCTTTGAGAATTCCTAGCCAATACTCGCTGAACGACATTTTCGCTAGTAAATGCTCGTTGATTAGAGTATACCGCTCTCACCATTGAATCGTTATTCTTTGAGTTTAATCTATTCTAAGGAACGGAGGTGGTGCTGGTGCAAGTGGCGCCTTTCACACACTCATGGTCACAGGTTCGAATCCTGGACCGATATCCGCCTAGGCCAACCAAGCCTTCCATCCCTTTGGGGTCGGTTTATTGGTAACAGACTCGTCTGGAAGGATAGAAGCACTGATTTATACATCGGCTGGCCACAGTATGTCATTATATAGGACACATACGCATTCAATACGCCACTGCGATTCTGAGTGGAAATCGAATGCGTGGCCGCACTCCTCAGACGGGATTGATGAGCGCCCCAAGACTTCATCCTTTATTCTTTAATCTCATCAAATCTCATTCCCCGTTTATGGATTAGGTGCTGCACTCACTTCATTCATACCGAGCTACAGTCAGCACTCCGAGAGCCTCAAAAATCTGTTGACCACCATAATAAAATGCATCACACTTTACTGAACGCTGTTCACTCTTCTGCGTTCAAACCATAAAGAGAAGGCAATTACTGCAAATATCAGTGCAGTATACATGGGACCACCTCCATTTTTTCAATCTGGCCTGAGAGGCGGTAAACGATTGAAAAAAAGCGAAACGTCGGCATTGGTATCGTTCCATACTGCGCAAATCCATGCCTGTGACTGAATACCTTTAAGGTGCTCCTACATGCCTGTTCTGTCCTTTCCTCATTCTTACCCTTTTCAGCCTCTTGACAAGGTGCAAATCTCCTGAAATTAGGTGTTATATCAGAATGATTAGAAAATCTTGAACAGTTCATCATTTTTCTGCTCTGCTTCTTTATGAAGTAAACGTAGAATCTACTCAGCATTATAATTGCCATCGCTAGTCACCACGGTTCCTCGAGTGATAGGCAAGTCAGCGATCATCTGTCATCAAGGCAGGGGCATTAGATCTCACAAATCGAGAAGATATATTGCTGGCCACTATTTCAACAACATCAACTTTGGTTGTTTTATCCCATTAAATAATTCAAAAACCTAGTCTGATCTCAAATTATGCCTTTGATTGATTATTGCTCACAGAAGCCTCTACTTCTCTATAAAATGTGCAGTAAAGTTCCTACCAAGCAATCAGATTGGTCCTATTAAAGAATTATGTTGCTGCGCAATATACCTGTCGCAAGAGCGCCGGAATCTGTGGGCAGTGAAGTTGGTCTGAAGCTTTGAAACAAACATGTTAGGCGAAGCTCTTACGCATAACCACCTTTCTCTTATGGCGCAAACCTTCCAAGACCCTGAAATTTGACTTTTGGGGATCACAACATTATCGATGTCATTGGTACATATGAAGGTTGATGTATAATTGCTTCGTCAGTTGAGACTTTCGGCATAATTCTCGCAAGTCTTCCATATTTGTCGGGGATGTTCTTCAACACTGTTTTTGGCTTACTTACAATCTTGAAATTCGTATATTCTTCACTCTGATGATGTCATTTTGTTTGAAAATGGCGGTACCCCGTAAAATTCATGAGATTCTGCACTGTCTCTAGATGGAGTCGAAAAATGTTGAACATAATGATAACAGTTGGGCTCCGCACACTAACCGTGCGTCACAATTAGGAGTGGGTCGAACAGAAATGATTTTTTTTTGATCTGGGCTCTACCTTCCGAGAAACTGCTAATAGGCTTAGTTTGATATGAGCTTATGCAATAAGTTTGGCAACATCTGACTTACCGCCTTGTCGACCTATTCCTACTTTTGCCCATTTTTCAGGGCCTCTGAAAATTTTTTCGGCAGAATCACGACCCACTTCAAAGATTTGGCTCATTTCGGCTATTACCTTTTTGAACAGTGTTATTATCTTTTGACCTCATTCCGCCCTCCTAAGTGTAAACCTCGCCCACTTCGAGACTTGGCCACAATCCTTCTATCACCGTTTACCAGTTTTTCCGCATTCTAGATCGTTTTTGTACGGGGTTATTTACATTTTGAAAGGGTACTCCTCATGAAAATGCACATTCCGCCATGGTGGGTCGAGCTTCGCCACTTTATGCATGTCCAGCACGCGTAAGCTCGCTAACCCTTTTTTTCTTTTCTGGGATCCACCCCTTCGTTGAGTCGTGGCATAAACTTATGCGGAAAGTACCGCCTACTGCAAGAACGGTCGGCCTACCCCCAGTGAGTGCCCTTCATTTCAACAGATCCCTCACCTTCGCCAAATTTTCCACGGCGTCGCTGTTATGAAACCTAATTAAATGTTTTGCCCAAGGAACCCGGCTGGCGCCGGGCTCCTTCTGTTCTCGCGTTAAAATGGCCTCCCCGCTTGCACCTCTTTCAAGTTTGGAGGCTTCGATAGATGAGAACAGGAGTTATTCATTCCCGGCCAAACACAAACACCCTCCGGCAAACACAAACACCCTACGCGCGCTGTCCGCCATGAACAAACCTCCATAGGTTCTAAGTGTTTCGATAACTCAATCTATCTCGACTTATGCAACCTTGGTTTTGAAAGTTTAAATTAACGTTTTTTGCCCACGCTCCAGCTCCTGTGAGTGGAGTTAAGTCCTGCTGCCCGACATAGGTGCTTCCATCCTGCCGCCTGTATTTCTATCGAATATGAGCGCTCTCGGTCCAATTTAAAAATTTTCGCACTAACCTCACCTCATGTAGGTGGAGTCCGCCTGAACACCCATCAAATTTCAGCGCTCTAGGTCCACGGGAACAGGAGCTATGAATTTCCACCCAGACTCTGCATCTTGACCCATTCGTCCTCTTTCTTTTTAAGAAATGTCTGTGGCAGTTTTACCTGCTTCGACCACATTTGTTCCATTACCTCCAACCGCTTTCTTCCCCTATTCTAAAACCTTTCCTAAGGGAGTTACACTCATTTTTGAAAAGTAGCTTTCACCTCAACGCACTCTTCGCCCATAGCGGGCAGACCTCCGCTGATGTTATTTATGCTGGAGACACCTTCGACAATGCTGCCCCTACATCAACCTTTTCCTGCTCTGTTGGCTTTCTCCAAACTGAGTTATAAATATTTTCAAAAGCGTTGCATTTTTGGAGAACGCTCCACCTATCGGGGGTGGGTCTTCCTAGCTCGATCAATCTCACCAACGAACACCTCTAGCCACCTTTACACCTTAGTTTTGAAGCCGTCTTGTGACTGAATTGACTGTGAAAACAGCTCATTTTAATGCATGCCACGATCACTGTAGGCGGGTCTCCATCAAGCTGATGTACGCTTTATGCTTGTCGGGACATGGCCCACCCATACCACGCTTATCTCTCCAGGCAGAGAGCTAAGGAATCTCGTGACAGACATACATGACGACAGACGACAGACCATAGTACCAGAGACGACAGACGAATCGCTTCATAGTAGGTAGGATAGTAATGTTTCGCTTCTGGCTGCTACACCTTCAAAGCTCTCTTGAAAAGTTCAAGTGCTTGGTATTAATCAGCTCTGGGTCACTAGGTAGTATCGGCTCAACGCAGCCCATAACTACTTTTCAGTTCTCCATGCTTCTAGCTGAAATGAATGCACATATTTGTGGCGCGTGCACAATACCGTACAACTGTTCGCAATGAGCGCCTTACACTTAATCATTAATCTTGTTTGATTTCTGCAGAAACATCTTTTGGATTCAATTTTTATGTCCGGAAGCTACTGACTTTACGTTCCTTCTGAGATTTACTATCTTTGAACCATTTGCACAGTGTTTGTAATCTCATTGACAACCCTAAGGTCAGGATAAAAATCGCAATCAGAGGCGTTTTCAGTTACGAGGTGAGACTAACCGACCATACAAATTTCGGTGTTTCTTTATTAAAGAGATGATTATATTAAGTGTGTTTCTCACTGCGTTGTGTTTGGGACTCACACGACGCGTTGTGTTCAAATGACTAATGTAGGGTTTCCTTTTCCTCATTTGGACAAGCCATTCACTATAAGGTAACAAATTATAGAGAATAGGAGAGGGAGAGTGCTGTTTCTGTGAATTAGCAGAGCAAATGGAAGCTCATCTGCTGTACAGCTTCAACAGCATTCGTTTGGATAAACAGGGTGCGCCATGAATATGGTGACAAAAGAATTGGGTTACAGCAACCGCATATCATGTTGAGAAATGGTGGATTCATGTGAGCTATTTACTACGCACCGCATCTGCAAAGCAAACACACGGTCATCTTATATATAAGTGGTTATCAGACTTCCTTGCTGGTAGAACTTTCCAGGTTAAAATAGGGCATATTTTCTCTGAGAGTAGGGAAGTTGTGAGTGGAGTACCGCAAGGGGGTGTGCTCTCTCCGGTGCTCTTCAACATCTTCACGGCCGATATCCCGAACGCGTTAAGTGGGTTAGATGTTGTCACTAAAATGTATGCAGATGATATAAAAATGTATAGGTCTATTTCGACATATGGAGACGAGGATGCCCTTCAGGAAGCGATTAATTTGTTAGCTGACTGGTCTAAACAGTGGCAATTACCACTGGCCCCTCATAAGACAATGTGTATGCGGATCAGTTTGGACTCGGAGGTCTGCCCGTTTTCATATGTGGTTGATGGTGTCAGTATTGCTTCTGTAAAAGGGGTGCGAGATCTAGGCTTTCACTACACCAGTACCCTAGATTTCTCCAGTCACATCAGGAATCGCTGCAAATTAGCTCTAATGCGTACATTCCAAATTTTCAAGGGTCTCTCTACCGCTAATAAGCGGGTTCTTCTTCAGGCATACAAAACGTATGTACGCCCTATTGTTGAGTCGGGAGCCACCGTGTTTAACCCAGCGAAGAAAAAGGATGTGGTTGCTTTGGAAAAGGTCCAGAACAATTTCACACGCAAAATACTGGTTCGCTGTGGAAGCTTCCTTTACTCCAGAGTACCTAAAGCGTACATCAGAAACAGGTATCTTGAACTTGCAACTCTCCAATCTCGGCGCATGGTATTTGACGTGTGCATGGTTTATAAGCTCTTATACCAGTCTGCAGGTCTTGGTCCATTTGAGTTTTTCGAAATCACACCATCACG